GAGAGCTCTCCCTAGACTCCCTTATCTCTCTATTCTCTTCGTATGGTGCAAATGAAAGGGAGAAAATATCTTCCCACCAACTAGTTCTTAATAATAGGGAGAGTAGGGCCTTTAGGATGTTTCCATATGCCTTCTCCCATACCTCTCACCCATATGTCCGCACACAGCATTTTAGTTTGTCTCCAATACATTATTTGGAGACCACAAGTCATGTAGGAAGATCCCCAAGTGGGTGTAGGAAGTTCCTCTCAATTATTATTGCTATTTTTGGCAGGTTGGGTCAAAATAGCACTTGGGTTGCCCAAACATTTTCCTCAACTTTAGTTGGCATTTTATTGGGCTTCTAATATTATTATGATGACCCAACTAAATATTTAATAGCCCATTCTCCATATTATGGACCCGCTAAATAATTTAATTAATCATTCATTAATCAAATGTACCATTCTCTTACACAATATTATTCGCCAGGAAATTCAAATACATGTTGAATTTTCAAATTCAAAGTACATCCGGGTGCGGTGTCACACTTGTAATATAAATGCCATAAACTTTGAAGAAGTGTGAGATAAACACCTCCAAACTTGCATATGCAATATATATATATATATATATATATATATATATATATATATATATATATATATATATCCCGAACTTTACATAAAAAGATATTTTCACATCATGTTATACTCCCTCTGTTCCGAAAAAAGTTCGCCAAATTGAATTTTCTTAGGCAATGACAATCAACTTTGACTAATGATTGTTTTTAATACGAAATTATTTTGAATATGAAAATTACATTAAAATGTTCATTATTTAAAATATTTTCATAAAAGTATAAATTTATAAATTAAATTATATACAAATATAATAATTAAAATCTTTTATCCAAAGTTTACCATCATTGACCAAGAAAAGTCAATTTGGCCAACCTTTTCGGGACGGAGATAGTATTTGTTTTAAATATAAATTTATTGCAATAAGTACGTAATTTAAAATAACATAAGCTTTGTTCGGATGTAGTTAATATTCTAAAATTTCATCTATGAAATAAATAATATTATATTGGGTACAATCTAGTTTTAATTGCATCCCCACAAATGTTTTGTATATTTTAAATTTGTACTAAAGACCATAAAATTACATTTGTGAAAGAAACATATAATCATGGTTCTAACATAACTTTTTATATAAAATTCGGGTACCTATATTACATGTCCTCCTAAAATTAAATACAAAAAATAAATTTGACATCCCCATCCCACCGTCAACCTTAGTACCTCACTACGGTTCTCTTCCCTCTCCCACCCAACAAGACTAGGAGCCCGTTTGGTAACAACAAAATTGGCTGAGTTGGCTGATTCTGTCAAAATTTATAAAATTATGACCGAAGTGGTTGAATTGGCTGATTCTCGCAAGTTATAAGGTAAACCTGAGTGTATCTATTGATGATCCCAGATAGAGGTAAAAGTCTAGAGGGGGGGGGGGGGGGGGGTTAATAGACTTTTAAAGCTTTTTATACTTTAAAGAATTTCCCTCCCAGATATGATGATCAATAACCTTTTGAGAGATTAAGGATCCACAGCGGAAGTCTTGACCCCTATGTAAAATAATAACCTTCTATTAGAAAGTGGACAAGGAGAAGTCTGAGTAATATGAGCGTTCCTTATTTTCAGAGACAGAGGTGCTTAGTGGCAAAGATGTTTCTGACAGAAGGTCTTAATCAGAATACCTTAGAATGATGTTCTGATGTCTTCTTGACAGAACCCTTCCCTGGGTCTTCTGTTGATCTTGGGAACAGAATCCCTCACAAGGTCTTCTGTTGGACTTCTAAGGTGATAGTTGCTTAGAGACTTCTGTTTTAAAAAGGAGATCTTAGTGAGGAGTGAAGAAGACTTCTAAAGCATTGAGATGTGATTAGATGAGTGTATAGAAAGGCAGTAAGCTTAGCAGAGAGGTGAGCAGAAGGCGGAGGACTGCTACTGAGGTTTCTGGTCACGTTTCTGCTAAGTTTAAGAAATGTTTGGTGTGTGCTTTGTTGACTGAAAAAATGAATCAACACACAGTATATCTTGGTTCAGAGGTGGTGTAATCCTCCTACATCCAGTCCCACCCTCTTTCAGATGGATTTCCACTAAAGTATTAAGCTCAATACACTTAGTGCCTGTCTGACTGTTATCACACAACTAGCTCAGACCTGAAGGTGTTTCACAAGGAGTACACACCACTCCAAGTTACTCAGTCCTTAGATTTTCTCAATTGATCCAGTGGGGGGTCAAAAGGTACTCTATTCTATTCTACCACACTTAGGACTAGATAACACTGTTCTTCTAAGTGTTTACAACATTTTCAAATGTAACGGAATTTCTAGCCTCCAACTAATAACTAAACTTCCATAATATGGCAATGAGAGTTCTGACTGGGAAGTTTAGTGAAGCATGAGTCTAAACTGAGAGCCGAGTTTAAATGAGCACTTTCTCTTATGCTGGGTATATCGTTGAATGCTTGGTATGATTTCTCTGTTTTTAAGACTCTCAAGATGCTTGAATATGAACTCATGCTTATGCCTTTATTTATAGGCATCTCCGGTTGATTAATCTCCTCCATTGGTTGAGAGGATTTAATCGTTGACGTCCAAAGTATTGTACTTTCATCTTCTTGTGTTGGAACAGATTATCTTCTTCAGACGCAATTGGATCAATTTGCAAGCGGGATATGTAAACTCATACCTTAGGCCTTATACACACTATTCACCTACTTGTAGGTTTTTGGCTTCGCATGCAACTTTGCGTGTGTAGCGTCTCGTGCTTTTGTAGATACTGTGGACTTGGTAAATTTGTGACTTTAGTCTTTTTGTATCGAATAATTTTGTACTGGTAGGATTTAAATATCCTTTTAAGGTAAAGGAAAATTACCTTATTGCTTTTTATATTTCCAGTACAATTTATTCGATATAAAAAGTGTACATGTTTAAAAATTGGTCACAATTTTACTAGTGACATAGATAATTCTATAACAAATAAAAATATACTGGTTGGATTTGAATATCCTTGTAAGGTAAAAGAATTTTACCTTATTCATTTTATACTTCCAGTATATTTAATTTGTTATAAAGTTGTACATTTTTAATCTTGTCACTTTACATTGTATTCTTTCTTTTTCGTACCTTTTTCTTTTCGTTTATGATGCTGTGAGTACTCTTATCTAACCAATTGTGGAGCATACTACAATTTACACAATGAGTAGATAACTTTGAACATAAAGTCTAAACCAAAAAGGAGGATGACATCATCAAAACTATTTCTTACAACTATAGCTTATATCAAAGTCTGAGGGACCTAACATTTCCCCCTTTTTGATGATGCCAAAAACTAGATTCTAACATTTTAACTGTAGCAAAACAAAACATTGAAGTTCTTAGTGTTAGATTCTATTTCCCCCCTTTTTGGCAGCAGCTAACACCTAGTTCTAGTGTTGTCTCCTTGATGATTCACCAGCCACTAGTTTTCTTCTTCTTCTTCTTCTAGTTCTTTTGAGTTGGTCAAGTTTTTAATTGTAGACCTTCTCAATGAACTCCTGAGATAGAGCCTCTGCAAGAGATTGTGCTCCCAGCCAGTGGAGAGCAAAGTTTTCTTCTTCTTGGACGAGGGGTGCGATGAGAAGAAGTTGGTTGATTGGCGAGAGTCTCCATTCTTTCCATTTTAGGACTCTCTGTTTCTCCTTGTCGAGAGAATCCTTATCATGAACGTGGTTCAACCATGATTCTAGATCACTTATGAAGTCTTCTCTTTTTCTGACACCACTTGTTGCTGGAGCATCGTTGTGAGGCTGTGGAGGTGCTAAGGAGAGATCTAGATTTAATCTATGATATGCCATTTAGGAGTTTTGCCCAAGGTGTTTTGGAGAAAGAAGCTTTTGAAGAGAATAGTGTAGTCAAAGAAGATCATGATTTCACAGAAACCATGATTTACATTTCAATAGAAGAGGTTTGATGATCAATGAAAATGTTCAACTAACAAACCTTATGATTTCATATTAATGCAGAATTTTTAAGTCACATGTTCATTTGCTACTGATGTTATGCTCTTTTGTAAAATATCATATTAATTCATATTTCAAATGTATCATATCACATTAAATTCGCATATTGAAATTCTTATGAATTGTTTACAAATATAATTTAATAAGTTTTATAAAAGAAAAAAAATAATTAGAAGACATGAATTAGAGACGATGAGTCGATGATGCTCATTGTTAAGCTCCTAATACCCAATAAAATAGGTCAGATGCTCAATAAAAGTACACTAATGCACATTTAACGAAAACCAAGATTTTCCTCTTAAATTACAAAAATGCAACCGCCTAAAAAAATTGTACTTTTTAATTATTAGTTGTATTAGTTAATAGACAACTGGCTTCCTTTATTGGACCGTACACCCGGATGTAGGATATAAGGATCGACTGATTCTGTTGATTTATGAAAAAATTATATTTAAAATTTTTCTAATTAATAAAATAAAGAAATAATTATATGAAAAAATTGGTAAAATGATCCACTACAATAATTTTATTCAATATAACCATAAAAACAATTTCAATTTTACTTTTTCTTTATTATTATCTCAAATCAAAAGTTGGTGTGTTTTGATGAAAAAGTTGGAAGTGTGATCGGCCGAAAAACCAAACAAGATTTTTACAGCATCATAGCTGAATTTATTTCTTAGAATGTTTTTACTTGGAGTGTAATTTGCCCTAGACCAGACCAGACCAGACTAGTCCAGACCAGTCCAGAACAGACCAGACTTGGATAGTTATACAAATACAAAGAAACAAGACCTTACCAGACCAGACCAGTTCAGATCAGACCAGTTCAGATCAGACCAGTTCAGATCAGACCAGACCAGATTGAACCAGACCAGACCAGCAAATTACACTCAACTAAAATTACTCTCCTCATGACATGATGACGCATGTTGGCCTCATGGGTGAGCGTTCTTATATCTCTTTTTTTTTTTTTTTTTGAAAACAGCGTTCTTATATCTTTTATGAACTACTATCGTACTTTAAGAACAAAGCTGAGAAATTGATGAGAAAATTGCTTCTTTTTTTGCAACCTGAAATCTTGTGTCGGCTCAAACTAATCGAAAGATGAATAAAGTACATAGATTCCTGTTGATTGGGTTCATAGCATTCCTCGCCTTCAACTATGTCGACGCAGGTTATGAGGTATTCTAACAAAAAGAAACAATATTTACTTGAGTATTAGTTAAAACGTAGATTATTTCTCAATTTTTTTAATAGGCATTCAAATTTTTATGTGTGAGTTTTAGTTATCCATGTTATGTGTGCTTTGGTGGTTGGTATCGTTTTATACATCTCATTGGAGCTAGGCTCTCAATGCTAGGTCAATATAACTTCCAATAGTGCTCTAGATGCTACAAGCGTGGAACCATTGAAGCAGAATGGTACCTTCAATGCGAATCTTGGCCTGATAAATAATGGTAATGAAAAGACTTTTGGTCTGAAAAAGAGCAATTCAAGTAATCACGTAGTGCTAGAGGAAGCTGAGGATGATACAGGACTTGATGTTAGAAGTTCTGAGAGTACGGTCGACCATAATGCTGGCTTAAAAAATGCTGGAGACCATGCTTCTGAGAAACAGGATGATGAGAAAGCAAAGGCTGTTGGCATGTTGGGTTTAGAGTCTGGACACGAGGTGGCATCGTCAACTGGGGAGAAAGATAGCATCCGAGGTGAACATTGTGATTCTTCACCATACAGTTGCAACATTGAGGACGAATCATTACTTGCTTGTTTAAGGGTTCCAGGAAATGGTATGTTATTGACATTGCTAAACTATTTTATTTTCTGTGTCAATAGAGCATTGATTTTCTTAACTGTTACACTAGTAGTTTATTATCAATTTGGCGATATGGGACTCATATAATTTGTTTTAGGAAAAAAGTAATTTCTCTTGTTTGGATTTGAGGGGAAATGGCTAGAACTCTGTCTACTTTATGTCTCAAATAGGAAGAAAATGAGAGTGGAGTTCTGATCCTCTATCCCCTCACCCATGACATCGATTCAATACATCCATCACCTCTACCCCATGCACCTATCATCAGTGGCAGATCCAGGAAATTAGACTATTGGGGGCAGAGTAAAGTGACGTACACAGGCATGGGCCCGGGTCGGTTCGGATCCGGGTCCAATAATTTTTTTAATTTTTCCCGGTTTTAGGCTGGAAAAAAATCTTGTCCGGCTGGAACGAAACTGGGACTAGAACCGCTCGATTCAGTCTCCAAATTTGTAAGTCGAGAGCGGACAGGACCGGCCCTAGAACCGAAACCGCAAAATAGGACCATTGGGGCAAAGTCAAGTGGTGTACATAGGCATGGACCCGGGTCCATTTTTTTATTTTATTTTTTCCGGTTATAGGCAGGAAAAAAATATCGTCTGGCGGCACAGAAATGGGGACTACGGCTGGTCCTAGAACCAAAACCGCAAAAAAGGACCCGATTTGGTCTGAAACATATATTCTTAAAACCTTCTCTTACCTATATAAATATATTTAAAACCTTCTAATTCTAAAATTCTGCCCATAAATTCTGGTATAAAAGTTTTTGATAACTTATACTCCGTATGAAGTATACTGCCTTAAACCTTGTGTTACCTCTTACCTATATAAATAAATTTTACATAGTTAGATATCCTAAACTCTTAATACTATTTATAGCTACTTTTAAGTATTACGTAGTAATTGTTAGTTTTTACTGTCATTTTTATAAGTTAGGATAAATATTGATTATTTATCACCTCTTAACCACACAGGAAATGCAGAAAGCTTGATTGTTAAATCTACACTTTAGGCTTAAAAAATACGCAAATGACAAATTATACAAATAGTGAAATAGGTAGTACAAGTTATACAATAATCAAATAGTTACTCTGTAATACTTAGTTGGCTGAAAGATTTAAACTTCCCAATTAGAGATGCTAAAAAAGTGAAAAGTACTCCGTATTATAGTTTGGATTTGGGCATTAGTTTATTTTACTTATTTGGGTGAATGCGTGACTAGGCTGGATGGGTAATGGGGGCATTTGTTATTTTTAATTGGGGGCAAATAATTCGACTAGAATATTTCCTAATGAATTAGAAGAGATTGTTGGCCTTTTATTGGGGGCAGCTGCCCCCCTCTTCTAGGTGTAGATCCGCCCCTGCCTATCATATCATTTTTTATCCGTTTCCCTTTACCTCCTATTATCTCTCTCACGCTCCTCCCACTTTCTGCACACAGATGTGTTTAAATGTTAAAATAATCTTCATTTTTCATTTCATTTTTGTTTATGCTTCTTCCACGCGCTTGGGCAGTTGGAATTTTTTTGCCCCTATGATTCATTTCTGTAGTGATATTAAAAAGCAGTTCGAAATGAGAAAGTTGTATACCAGTCATCATTGAGCTTTAAGAGTACTACTGCAGCAATGGTTCCTTTCTTTACTACTTTGAGTTCAAGTATTCAACTAGCCTCTGAAATTGAATCCGCAGCAAGTTAAAGACGACGTCTAATTTGGTATAGAATTTCCATAAATCTTTGGTTGGACTTACTGTTGGCTCCTTCTTTATCCTTAAGTTAAGAGATTCACTTTTCTGTAGGGTGTTTAGAAATGTGTGATATTTTTCATTTCTGTGGTACTAGGATTAGCAAGCTATTTATAATGTACCTTGTTGGGGTGATATGGAGTCCTCCAAGAGTTTCATTCCCACCTGAGAAGGACATTAACTTTATAAATCATATCCATTCTTCATCTTTCTGGTTACGATGAAGAGGATGCCTTCACATTTTTTCTTAATTAAGGTTTCTTTTTGAATGCATTGTTTGTGAATTAAACAATTCTTCTTAGTATAACTTCAGGTTACAATTTGTCTCCTGTCAGAATCCCCGGACCTTTCACTACTGGTCCAGAACAAAGGAAAACACCATATAAGTGTTAGTATATCTGCTTCTAAGTATGTTGAACTGGAGACAAGACAGATTGATCTCAAAGAGATGGAAAACATGAAGGTAAGAATACCCGAGCTTCATTGTATCGTACATGTATTAATTCATTATGGTGCCTTTGAACATTAATTTGTTACGGGCGTGGTTGGGGTCTCGTTTCAGATCTAGGAAATAGAGAATATGAGAGAGGAATAATAAATTAGGCATAAGCTAGAATTAATCAGTGTCCGACCTTGTCAAGACAGGCAAGAATTAATTTTTCTTAAGCTCTTTATTGAATAATACTGATGACCCTTATATGCCTATTACAAGGACCCTAATTATAAAAGGAAATAAATGCTAATTAAGAAGTTGCCTAAAGTAGAACAAGAATACTTATAAAAGGAGTCTAAGGAGATACATGCTAATTTAGAAGCTGCCTAAAGAAGGAAATGAATAATAATAATAATAATAATAATAATAATAGTAATAATAATATAAGGTTTCGACTTTCGTTGCTCATATCATTACTCACCTCTTGGACATCAAGCTTGAAGGAAAGTAACCTGTAGTGTCAGTCTTTGCTACGATCAAATGGTGTGATTAGAAAAACATTTATCGCATTGTGCCAGATGCACCCTTTTGTAATTTGTGCATAACCAACGTGATTACATACAGAGATTAGACACTTCCATGTGGATCTTGTGATCAGGTTAGCTTTTTGACTGAAGAAACTAGAAAATGGATCGTGGAAATTGAGTTGTCGGTCCATATGCATAAGTCCTTCAAAAACACATAGCTCATGCAAGAAGAGACCATCAAATCTTTCCATTGCAGGTTCGGTACTTTTCCTCAAAGAGATCAGAACCCAAGTGTAGCATAATAGGTTCAAACCCTAGGCCCAAGAGAAATTGTCTATGCAAAGTTGTTGCTGAAATAAATATCCCTTCTTGTGGACTATTTAACGGGCTTACAACCTCAGATGAAGGTACACTTCCTCCACGGCTCCACTATTTGAACAGTTGCAGAACAGCTTACCAGATCTTGTATTGAAAGAAGTGGTCTGGTGACCTTGGCACATGGCAGAGATAGCTCATCTTGTGTAAAAAAATGTCCAGAAAGAGAAGTTGTCAGCATCTTTAGCTTTTCTGGGGGTGCCACCAAAGTTGGAAGCAATGGAGTTGTTGGAGACTATTAGGGGCAGCGAACTAGGGATTCCTGGAGCAAGAGAAGTGCACGTGATTTTTATTTCTTTTTGAGCTGCTCCTGATAATAATTATGATTAGGGCAGCGCTATGGAAACACAATCAGTGAAATTAGGACTACAGAAACTGATGATGGCCTCAGGAGTGACTTCTCTACAGTGGTGTGCTGCATATTAGTTGGGAAGTAGGGCAACAAAGATGCTGAACAAAGGATGTTTTGGTCCTAATGGGGAGTTCTCCCATTTTTAATCAAAGGTGCCTCAACAAATAACCAAACTTTACTTTAATCCATTTTTTATTTATGAACTGAAAAAGACAAAAAAAAATTTGATGATATTTTTATTTTTTACACCAAAATGTGCATTTTGTTTTCCGAAATTATTAAGAAAAAAAATCCAAGAAAAAAATTGCTTATAATTATTTAATTAATGTTATACTAAATTGATGTGTAAAAATATATGTTGGATTTTTTTGATGATGCTGGAATGCAGGGGAAAAAAATGTATTGACGGAGTTCATACATGGTTTTCATATAGTCGGAGTTCATATTTAAGTTTTCTGACGGGGAAGGATTGGGGTAGTCTTAGGTCTCACTATTCAATGTAGTTTTCTTTAGAATAAAATAATTTATGCAAAATCTTAGTGTGATCAAGAATGCATACCAATGGATATTTGGACAGTGCTAGTTTTTAATGGCAAAACCAGCTGCTGCGCATGAGTATCCCTTTTCAGATATCTTTTATAAATTAAAGATCTAAGTGAAGTTAGAACAAGTTCATTATGATATTCAAAACATTTAAAAAATTAACTTGACAAATTGAATACAAAATTACAACTTAACTCAACAATTCATCTCTCAGGCCCTTGATTCTTTTCATACTATTGACTGACCTGCTTACTTTATCATTGCTGATGTTGCTTTATAGTTCCTTGAATTCTCTTTTAGTATTTTAATTTTGGTTCAGACTTTCCTGTTTTGTTTATAAAAAAAATTGTTTGTCATTGAGACCACTTGCTTCTTATACACCCTTGTGGTGAGACCCTTCCTTGAACCCTCGCCTTGTGGGGACGCCAATGTGCACCGGCTGCCCCTTTCACTGAGGCCACTTACTGCCATCCAGACCAGTGAGATTGGAAGAGCAGATCAGGTGTAGTTAGTAGACAACAGATTGGGAGTGTCCTGATTAGGTGAAGCTATGCCATCGTTTTATCTGTAGACTGGTGAATATGTTTACAGTGTTGGTTCTTGTTGTTGACATTTGTCTGTTATTTCAGCTGAATATTTGATATGATTTGAGTTGGAGCTAGGTTATAAACTGCTATTTTTTTACAAAACAGGAATAAAATTAAGAGAGAAACAAGATATTGTACTATCAACTCCCTTTGATGATTTTAATGAGTTACACTAAGTTTTTTCTTCCTAATACTCCCTTTTTCATGACATTATCACCAATTCCTTAATTATGTTGCTTCTTAATGCTTCCCCTTATAGATGAGGTTACATACTCTTAAGTTTCTTCAAAATGCAAAGAAAATTAACACCTCAATTCTACAAAAAAAAAAACATTATTCCCAATCAGTGGGATCGGCTACATTAACCAATTGGAAATATCCATTGGTCATCTGCTGATATCCTCCTTTTCTGTTCGTTTTTGTTATGCACCATATGCTCCTCAAGTCATTTTCGACCTACTCTGAATTTATCTTAAGTCTCACGACCCAAGACTCCACTTTCTGTAATGGGGCATATCTAGTTTCTATGTCCACGCTCCCTCAGATTTCATCATCTAATCTAGAATAGAAATGCAATCAAGCTTAAAAGTGGGAAGGGAGCTCTTCTAAATAGGAAAGCTCTTTAACTAAAGATGTGAAGGGATTAAATAATTAATAATTTAGACAATCTTCCATTATTCTTGATTTGTTGGATCATTCAAACCTGGACATATGTGATTTCTGCTTGTCATGATTGTCACCCAGTCATGCATACATCAAGTTAAATGATACATGATGCTGAAGCTGGGGAGCCACTGTAGAATCAGTAGGATTAGTTATTTATTAAGTTTAATTTTGTTAACTTGTTGATATTGCCTTTTTTTGCTCAATTAAAGCTTTTATATTTTGTAGGGTATTCTGGAATTTTTCAATGAAACTTTCTGTAATTTCTCTCTTTCTCCTCTTTCTTCTTCTCCATCTCTAAATGGGTTGTAGAGACTTGAGACTATTCTTTAGAGAACTTTGGAAAGTTTTGTATGCCACATTATGACCTACAAAAGGCGATCCTTTTCTACTACATCCCTTCTATTAACTAAAGAAATTATATCAAATGCGTGTCAAGCCAACTCATGTGTTGAAAAGCTCTGAAATGCTCACTGTGTGGTTTGGACAGAGAGAGAAGCCATAGCTCATGAAATTTTTGAAAAGGCTTAGAGCATTAGCAACTTAGCACACACAGAATTGAAGATGCATTCAGTGTGGCTGATCGAGTTCATAACCAACTTTTGAATGAAACGGATTCCATGACTGCAAAGGCGGCTGCTTTCAAATATGGGGCTACAAGTAGACCTGATAAGTAATCTTCCACTTCTCCTCCACACATTATTATGTGTGGCTGATCGAGTTCATAACCAACTTTTGAATGAAACGGATTCCATGACTGCAAAGACGGCTGCTTTCAAATATGGGGCTACAAGTAGACCTGATCACCTGATAGTAATCTTACAGTTCTCCCTCATGGCAGGCTTATATAGTTGATTTTTCATATGCATGATTATATATCCCATTATTATGTTTCTTAGGCTTAGTTCAGAAGTCTCCTGCTTCTAAAGATGTTAATTTGAAAGGTCTTTGTCTTTATAATGAAGGTAAGCTACTGAATGCCCGGTGTAATTTTGCTGTTGTAGAGTGGTAGCTAAGTTATTTAGTAATGCCAACTTTAGAGTCCCCATTTACAGAAATCAGAAATGTCATTACCATTTGAACCAGGGAGAGCCTGGAATAATGGTAAGAACTACTCCCTCCATCACACCATCTTTGCCCGATTCTTTATTTTCAGCCTTTTTTACAAAGTTTGTCCCTTGTCATATTTGATAATATTTGTGTGGGTCTAATTCATTCTTACTTATTCACATTTCACAAATTCAGTACCAACCACATCATTCTACATTTCTTAAAATCATGCCACCTCCTCATGTCTCAATCTTAGTGGGACCGGGATAGTAGTTTCTGAAACATTAGTACAACCATTATTAAATTTGTTGGTGCTATCATTATGAGTTATGAGTTATGAGTTATGACATATTATTGCATGGTTCGACTCATAGTTATTACGGCGTCGCTTCGACTATTGCTCGGCGGCTTGGCTATATATTTGTGTTAGTTTGGGTTTTGCAGTGCTTGTTTCCCTCGGACACCAATTCCTTTTTGTAGTTGTGTTGAAATAATTTTCCTAGAGAAAATTATAAGATATTTAGTTAATGAACTGAGAGTTCTTGTGTTGTAATACAACATCCATGGTAGTCAAACTCGCGACACAACTTGTAGGATCGGATAAGTTTACAATCCAAAACTAAACTTGCGATCCCATTCTTTCTGAGAATCGTAAAATATCAAGGAATGATTGAATCGCCGAGTAGACGGATAAACTCGTAGGCTCGTACAGGGTCGGCGATTATTTTGCGATGGCTGAATAAAAAGAGAAAAATTCTAGGCTACGCGAATCGTCAGCGTAAATGGTCCAAACCATCTGGAATCGGTGGAAGACGTTCAAAAATTTGAAAGAGGAGGTCCGTCGCTTCAAATTTCGTGCAACTTAATCTATAAATTAGAAGTATTCGTCTCGGCAACTTCTACTCTCAGGTCCGACTAGTCAGTCAAGGACCT